GTTAGAGACATAAATCAAAATGTACTCCCCTCAACAAAGTGTTTTGAGCAATCAGAATGCTTTGAAACTCTATAATCTGTTAAGTTAACTCTGTCAGACAAACGTCTGGTTGTGTTTTGTGTTATGTGTGTGTGTGTGGCCACTCAGAACATTATGCTTGGGCTTGGAATGGTGAGAAAAATGGGAAATGATTAGGGCCCTCAAAACCACTTTTTGGTTGAAATCACTTTGTCATTTTTCTCGCTTCTTGCAAGACAAGTTATATGTCTAAATAAATGTTGTTGTAACAGTATTTGTGTATATACATTTGTCTGTGTTATTTCCAAGACTTGGAAGAGGCTCAAAACCCTCTCTGATAACAACAATACAAAAAGGCCTTGCTAAGAATATATGGTTTGCCTGGAGAAAGTATGAAATGAAATGTGGAATGGTTTTATGCAAAGTCAGTATGGAACTGAATGAGTTAATTTGTTGAAGTGTGTGTTAGCCTTGAAAACCCACCCATTTTTTTCCCCAAACTGTGAAAATAATAGTAAATATTTGTATGAGAAGAATTTCATGGAGAATGTATGAGAGAATTTATTGAAAAATGCATAAGAAGAGATGAAACTATTTTTTGGTGGTGAGATTCCCCCCCCCCCTGTCTCTTTCGGCTGGCTGCGTTGCTTAAAGAGTAAGAGACTGGAAGGAGGAGGGGGAACTGTTCGTTTAAATTTTTTTTTCCTCTGCTTGGAATTGTAATCTGAGAAGAATGGAGTGAATCTGAAACTTGACATTCACCTATGCAGTTTCGGCAAATAAATTTTTTACTCAAAAGAGGAAACAGTAAATGTTGGACAATATTTTTTATATCCAACAACCAAAAGAACTAACTGAATTACTTTGTTATAGATGTATAAATGTTTAACTTTGCTTAAATTGAAGCACCAAAGATACAATTTAATTGGCTTTCAGAAATATAAAATGATTTAGGATTGCAATAAGTCCCAGAAAAAATATAGTTGCACAAACTGATGACATCATGAATACTAATTTGTGGACAGAATTCCACACTTTGAATTTTTCCTACTAGTAAATCACCTAACGAAGTATTAACTGTAATAGAAGTGCAGAAAGTATATTGGATTGAATAATATTTACTTATCCCACATCCCATTCCAAAATGTTTATTTTTTATCCAGGTGGTTGCTAAAATGATAACCTTAGGACACACAAGAGCTTGCCGTCGAAAAGGAACTGATTATTAATATTGTTTTCAAAGATAACTTATCTCTTTAATGTACTTTAACTGACTATATAGGCTGTATTTCATATCATTTGCCTAATGATCTTTGACTTGCTTGTTTAATGACTTTTTCCTTTCCAGTCTAGCCACTGCTTTCTTCCTCTTTCTCCCTTGCCACAAGGTATTGCTTTTTCTGATGGAGGGTGAATGAGAGGAGCAATTGCTTACACTACAATGCAACCCTTATCACAATGCTCAGAATTATCTACTGTTATTTTAGCTTTTAAAACCTTTTCTCAACAGTCTTTTAACTTAATCTCTGACTCTCATTATGTGTGCCAACTTACTTTTACTTCTTCAGGTGCTTACATCACGCCCAGGATTGACCCCAATCTTATGACTTTGTTTTTAACTTTGCAGCAGCTGCTCCAGAACTGAAAGCATTTATAATTTTGTTTCTCTTTTTTTTTTGTAAAAATTTTTATTTTCAATTTTACAATACATAACAATCTTACAAATACTTCAGATAAAAAATAAAACAAATTGATTCACACCACATTCGGTCTTGCTCGCCCATTTCCCCCCAAACCTCATCCCACCTCAAACCAACTTACTTCTTTCCCTCTTTTTCTTCACTCACCCCCTCTCCACCTTCCTACTTACTTCTCACCTTCTTCTTCTCCCTCTTGATGTGGTCCAGGGGAAATGCCCGAGCAGTTCCTCTCTCAAAATTAAAACATTAATATTATATACAATAAGACTATTTCTACTTTATCTGAACTACTTAAACTTCAACCCATCCACCTCCCACCCCCCTCCCCCCGACTTCCCAGAGCAAAATACAGGATTATGCAAACATATTAAACATAATCTATTTAAGTTTACTAATTACATAATGAACAAAATCATAAAAACCGTTAACTCTCTTCAAACTTTAACATCATAAGTTTATAAACAAAATCATTACTCATAGAATAAGTGAAACTTTGTAGTTCCATATTTCTTCTGAACATATTCTATCCATCTTCTCCATACGTTAAAATATCTCTCTTGTGAATGGTCCTTTAAATAAGCAGAAATTTTAGCCATTTCTGCAAAATTAGAAACCTTAAATACCCATTCTTCTAAAGAAGGCAGAGTATCCTTCTTCCAATATTGACCCACCAGTAATCTTGCTGCTGTTATTAAATTCAACATTAAAATAGTTTCTTTAACATTAAAATCCACAAAAATTCCCAAAAGAAACAGTTGGGGAGTAAACTTAATCTTCCTTTTAAAAACCTTTTGAATGTTCCACCAAATCATAATCCAGAAGGCTTTAATAACTTTACAAGTCCACCAAACATGAAAATAGGTTGCATCCAAGCAACCACATCTCCAACATTTAGGTTGCAGGTTCGGGTACATACAGGACAGCTTTTTAGGATCCAGACGCCATCTATAAAACATTTTATAAAAATTTTCCCTCAAATTCTGGGCCTGCGTAAATTTAAAATTTCTAGTCCAAATTACTTCCCATAAATCCAACGAGATCGGTTCTTGAATATTCTGGGCCCATTTAATCATACAATCTTTAACTAACTCTGTTTCTTAATCCAATTTTATTAACTCATTATAAATTCTTTTAATATGGGCACATTTCTGATCCTTGATCTGAATTACCAAATTTTGTTTCTCATATACACAATCACTCCTCCCTTCCTGGGCCTAATTTTTTTTTGTATGTCTTTTTTATGTCTTTTATGTGGTTTTGCCTCTAATCAACTATGACAAATGGATGTTATCCATGTTCTCTCTTTTTGGCTTCCTAGAAATGTATATTCATAAATAGGTATTTAGGAACAATTTCCCCCACCTCTATGAGGGGAAACAGCTTCACATGTTATTTTTCATCTTTTTTTGGCCGTTACCGCCCTGGGTAAACCCTCTTCCCTAAAAACTGACAATGGGCCAGCCTATTCTTCAGTGGCCTTTCTACAATTTTATACAACCTGAAATATTGTTTTTACTCATGGTCTTCTCTATAATTCCACGGGTCAAGCTATCGTGGAACGTGCTAATTGGTCTTTCAAGGACTGCCTTCACAAACAAATAAAAAAGGACGGATTATCTAGGATACCCAATTTGTCGTGGGTAATACAACAGGTTCAAAAAGTATTATTTATATTACACCAATTAAATATTTCCATTCAAAATTTGGCCGCTTATCAGAGACACTTTCAACAGAAAACAAGCTTGCCTCCACCTCTGGTATATTATCGGGCATTACCAGACAAAGCATGGTTGGGACCAGTCCCTCTGATCACTTGGGGGTGGGGCTACGCTGCTGTGCTTGCTCCAACAGGACCTTTGTGGATTCCAGCACGTTGTGATCACCCAGCCAGGGATGTCGTGGCACCAGTCCCTGGACCCAATCCCAGAAATGGCAAGGGTGACTCTACAGATGGCACAGCAAGTAATCCAATTCTGACATGCCAGGCAGCCAGTGACGTGGGAGATGTAAAGAACTTGATCCCCAAGAACCTGTGTGCTGCCATTTTTGCGGTTTTAACTGCAAATTTCTTATCCATCATTTGTTTATGTCTGATCATTAACATCTGCCCTTTGACAACTGCAACTGTCATCTCACTCAAACAATCATTCAAGCAACGAATGAAGCAAAATCTAACATCACACAAAATGACTTCTTTTGTTTATCTGAAATGTATGACATGGAAAATTTGCTTTCTACATGTTTAGTCTTTGTTTGCACCCCTTCTGCAGTAATTCAAAACTTCACTGACTCTGGGAGGTTATTGCTTAAAAAACCTCACTGTCATCACATTGGCTCACCTGCTTTAAACTGCACAGCTTCAATAGAGACTTCCTTTCATTTTGGACATGCTTGGCTACTGCAAGGAGGGTTTTTTACGTGTGGTCAAGAAACTTTAAATTATATTCCTGCTAATATTAGCGAAGCACAATGTTGCCTCAGCTGCCTGATTCCTGTTTTGCTTTCCAAACAACAAGTTCACATGAACCAATATCCACGTGGTGTCATGCTAGACAACACTTGTGACTCTGAGACAACCTTACTTTGTAGCATTGGCTATATCTCTAGTGGGCGTGCCAGGACTTGATGTTCGTGCTCACCTCAACATTAATGCTATTACATGAAATTTGGCAAAAACAATTAATACTACTTCTTCAACTATTTCAGCGATCAACCATGAACTGCAAAATTTGAGAAAAGCTATTTTGCAAAATCACGCTGCAATTGATTATTTGCTTCTGCACCAGCATTTGGGTTGTAAACGTTTTGAGGAAATGTATTGTTTCAATATTTCTGATAATTCATGAACCATCCAGCACCAGATTTATATTTTACACAATTTGGCCCCTGATTTTAAAATTGGTACCTTAGGATCTTTATGGGTGCTGTTTATGTAATGTATTTCTTTCATTTTGCAATATATGTATTAGAGCTTTAAATCCCAGTAGATCTTCTCTCACATTGCCTCAGGGTCAAGTTTTGGCCCTATATAAACAACTGCAAGGATGCTCCTCTCCTGATTATAATCCTTTTATTAACCCCGCTTATGGCGATATTTCGTCTAACAAAACAAAAAAGAGTGAGATGTAGAGGTGAGAGACAGGCAAAGGTCATGTGCAGAACACTGCCCTCCAAAGCCTGTGTACCCCTCCTCTCTGCATCTATCTTCCCCCGTTCACATCACCATAGTGATGTGAAAGTATATAGCTTTTTACTCTTGAGGATTGGTAAAGGATTTTAGCCAATGAAATGCTATTGCCATGCAGTAACTTTTGCTATTTGTAAAACTCTATAAAAACAAATAAATGCTGCGTGCTAGCGGCCATTTCTTTGCACCCTTCAATGACTAAGGACTGATTACTACACCATATCGACTGATGTTTGGCAGGGAGGTTCAGCTGTCGGTAGATATAGCATTTGGCATCTCAATGGATGAAACTTCATTCAGTTCACACCGCAATTATGTAGACAGGTTGAGGAGGAATCTGAAGATGGCATATGAGAAGGCTGTAGACGTTTCAGAGGTTCAAGAACAGAGAAACAGGAGGAATTATGGTCTGAAGGAGAGGATTCAAGATTTGCAACCTGGTGATTAGGTATTACTGAGAAATCTGGGCATTCCTGGGAAGCATAAACTAGCAGACCAATTAAGTTTTCAGTCATACATTGTCAGTGAGAAGCTACATGGATTGCCAGTGTACCAGATTTGACCAGAAGGGAGCTGAGGCCTCTGAAAGCATGGCACTGAAATCATCTATTGCCTCTAAATGAGGCGATATGAGTCTCTCAGCATCTGCTCCAAAAACAACTGACTATGCCTGACAAGGAGGAGACCAGTGACTCAAGCACAACCTGATTCATCCATGAAAGGAGAAGAGGAGGACACAGAAGAGGAAGAAGGTTGTATGAACTGGTTATGGTCATTGGAAAATATTGCAACAGCTCCCCCTGTATCAGACACTGAAATGGGGTTTGAGCAGCTCAGGCCAGATGCTCCTGAGTTTGTATCTGAAACTTGGGAATGGGGAGAAGTTCTTAATGGAAGGCTGACAAGCAGTCTGAGGAGCTGCCAGAACTGGAGAGAGTGCCACCCGCTCCAGGGGATCATGGGCTGGAGGAGCCTATGGAGACAGTCTCAATCCTTTCACATGCCTCACAACAACCAGAACCAGGGAATGGACCTCCAATCCCGGAGATTTTTGGGTGCGGAAAGTCCCAGGAGGATTTTCATTACAGCCGAATCCAAAGTACAGAGATCAAAATGAGTGATACATCCAAATAGAAGACTGACATATGATGCTCTTGGCCACAGCACAGAAGAGGCAGTACTTACTGCTAGACAAAATTCTGATCCATCCTCGGACACCCAGACTCTTGGTAAGCATTTCTTTAGGGGACCAAAGAATTTTTGGGTGGGGGGAGTGTGTAGTAGAGAGGGAGTGGGAGGGGGATTGGCACTGGCTGGGAGGCTTTGCTGGAGCTCTGTGGATTTGGCAGAGAGTTCGGGAGCTCCGGCAGCCTCCGCAGTGGCTGGTGGCAGGGCAAGGCTCTTGGGGAGGGATTTTTAAAGGGGGAGATTGACTGGGGGGAAAGAAGATTTTATTTTCTCTTTTCTGAGAGGCAAGCCAGAAGGAGGGAGAGCGAGGTAGGAAGTTGGCAAAAAGGTTTTTTTTTTTATTATTCCTGGTTTCTGTGTGGCAAGCCAGACAGAGGGAGAGTGAGGGAGGAGGTTGGTTGGGTTTGTTTTTATTCTTTTTGGTGAGTAAGCTGGATGGAGTGGGGGGGATAGAGATAGAGAGGTTTCTGTAGAACAAGCTTGAAGGAGAGAAGGGAATGGGAGTAGGAGAGGATTCAATGGAGAAACGCCAAAGAGAGAAGAAGAGATAGAACAAGGGAGGTTCCTATGAGCAGCTGAGAAAGACTGACCATCATTACCTCACATGAGCTGCCTGCCAGAGACTGACCATCATCATCTCATGTGAGCTGCTACTACCAGAGATGGGAGCAGCCTATTGACAGAGACTAACTACAATCACCTATTGTGAGCTGCTTGCCAGGGACTGACTACCATCTTCACCTCACATGAGCTGCTGCTGCCAGAGACTGACCATCATCGTTTCATGTGAGCTGCTGCTGCCAGAGACTGACCATCATCATCTCACATGAGCTGCCTGCTGCCAGAGACTGACCATCATCATCTCACGTGAGCTGCCTGACAGAGACTGACCATCATCACCTATTGTGGGCTGCTGCTGACAGAGACTGACCACCACCACACCACGTTCCTCTGTCAAGCAGAAGTGTCCAAGTAAGGGATCCCTTGGACTAGCAGCCAGACTAAGAGGGCCAGGAGAACTCGGACTTCAGTGATCCCTTCGGGGGTGGTGCTACACATACATAGCTTACATAGCTAATCTTGCTGATATTATTTTGAAGAAATAATTTGGAACATGATCTCATTTTGATTCAAGACATAATCCTAGATTACTGAATAGGGCTCTTATTTAACCTCAAAGATGTTCTTTGTGGTAAATATCTTTTCAGGATGTAAAAAACAGCAGAAATAATTTTAAATTCAACAGAAATGTCAGATACAATCCAGAGCAAATAAAATTCTATATTAGAGCTGCTTTTCTCCAAAATAAAAGTCACCAAATTCATTCTTCTTTAAAGACATGACTAATATTTAATTTAATTTTAAGTCCTTATAAATTGCATATTACACATATTGTAGAGTACTTCTATTATCTCATACCAATATTTTTCAACTAAGTATTCCCATAATAAATTGCAAATCATGAATTATTGAATGCCTAAGTGCTATATCCAAAGGAAAAGGAATGGAAAAGAGAAAAAAGAAATATTGCCTGTTTAAAGCTCTCATTCCAAGAGTTCCATAGCAGCACATTTTAAAGTCTGTTCTTGAAGGCTGAAATGTCTGTATGCAGTACAAATAAATTTTTGTGCTTAATTGCAATCCCTGAAAATATAAGAAACCATGATCAAATGCCCCCTGCCCCAACTCCATGCTAAATAAAGAACCTATTTTCAAGGATCATCTGATCAGCTCAGCCTGCTGTCATGTGGCTGAAAATTAGCATGGACAAAAACAAACAAACAAACAAAAGGCCATATACAGGGCCAAGCTGTCTTAACAAATAAATCTCAAGGATTATCAGTATTTTGACTAACTGAAGTACATCAAGCAGGGACAGATACTAACCTTTGCTAAGGGTGATCAAGTTCTGTTCACTGAAATGCCTATTCACATTCTGATGAAAAGAACAATGGTTCCTGCCAATGAACAACTAATCTGTGATCTCTTTTGAGCTCCCACCTCTGCTAGAATTCTCCTCACATGATCACATTACTCTATGCATTTGATACAAACCAGATATAAAACCCAGTTTGAAGTTTTGTTTTCCCCATTTGTAATATCTGTCATGTCTAAGTGATTTCCAGAACTGCAAAATTCTGCTCTGCCCTCAGTCTTAAGGAATGCACCTTTTTGATACAAAATTAAGGTAATTACTTCCACAAGGTTGGCTAAAGTTTGACTAACCCATTTGCCCAGATGGCTGGTGTTTCTGGATATTGTGGTTTACAGATTTTCAAGCCTAAGAAGGATCACTCTCATTCCCCAAACAGAGACAGGTAACAGCAAACCATATCTGCAGGGACTGCACATCTGCCCAGCTTGCTCTGCTCCCACATTATTTACAGGACAGAGGCAGCTCATTGTTTACTATCTCCTAGAGGATGCAACCAGCTCATGCACTTCCACTTTCTGACCACAGCAAGAGGCAGCAGCAATTACCAAAGATTATCAGCTCAACAATGACAAGCTGCATAAAGAGAGACACTGAGCCAACGCTGCCGCCCGGAGACTGGCATATTCAAGTACACTTAGGACATTAATAGCAATTTGCGTGCCATCACTGAGGGAACACCACAATGGCCCTGTTGGCAGGCTCTTATTTTGAAGCCTGTTATTTGTTGGAGTTACAAGCTATAATCACAACAGAAACTTTCAAAACCCTTATCTTCGATGACACACCAAATCTATTTCAGAACTGTAATTGCTATGTCACTGGAGAGTTTGCTGCTTAATGCACTCAAATGACATTTAGTGTTTGCAGGGTCATTATAAGAATCAGAAAATGTGGAGAAAAGAGGGAGGGAGGGAAGAGTCTTCTATTGTGCACTGAAATTATTTTTAGAAAGGGCTTTATTGCAGTTGCCCAATTAAACAGGAGGAATAGATATAATCTTTGTACAACACAGACATTCTTATTATTTAAATTATTTACCCCCATTCCAGGGTTTCTGAAGAGATGCTCTGAGAATCAAGAACATGCCCTTCCTCATTGCTGGGGAGATGCTCAGTTGCCCCCAGTGCCTTTGAAAGACACAGAATCTTTAGGAAATAAGTGAACTCAACATATATGTCCAATTTTCACTTTGGGGAGAAAACTTTGGCGCTTTCCCACCAGACACCAGCCCTACCACCAAATGAGAAGGTACAGTAGCTCCATTTAACTACCACTTAATTATTAGACTGTTTGCTGGCCTCACATGCTATTGTTTTTGTCCTCATCCCCCATGCAATTTCAGAGCTGACATAAGATTATTGTTTCAGATGCGATTTTATTATTGATTTCCTAGATATGTTGTTCAGGGACTAATTCTGAGTAACTTCAAGCACTGCTGGATCCTCTCCGGAAGCTCTCTCCTTACAATAGAAAAGTTATGGAGGATAAATCTAGGATTCACATGGAGACTGCCACATGCTGTGGAACATGGATGCTGTTGTGTCCTGAGCCTGCAAATGCAGGCTCGGGACATTGCAAGGTTCCCGGGCAATTGCAAAAGCTGCCCGGGACCAGACTGAGTGGCGGCGACCAAGCGCACATGCGTAAGGCGCAAAAAGTGCCTAGTAATGTTGCCATCTTGTCTGGGGAATGGGGATGTATAAAAGGAGGCCTGTGTGCCTTTGCTCGTTGTTGGAGTTTGAAATAAGCACAATAAAGAGCTGTTCCAGGAACATGTGTATTTTTCATTCGCCATCGCCCCCAGGATTTAACAGATGCAATAGCATTTAGACTTATATACTGCTATACAGTGCTTTATAGCACTCTCTTAGCGGTTTACAACATTAGCGTATTGTCCCCAACAATCTGGACCCCCATGTTACCAACCTCAGAAGGATGGAAGGCTGAGTAAATTTTAAGCTGGTCAGCACTGAGCTCCTTGCAGTGGACAGAGTTAGCCTGCAATATGGCATTCTAACCACTGTGCCACCCTGGTTCCTACATAACTGTAATATAATTCTGTGTCATACCAAGATGAGAAATCTTCATTCCTCAGAACATGCTTTCTCTTCCACCTCTCCCCCACTCTAAATTTTGCACAGAAACGTTTATTACAACTGTATATCAATTCCCATCATCAAATTACACATGGGGGGGGAGAGAGAACATACACAACAAGAGCCATTTTTAAAAGAATGTGCTCACAGCTCTCTGCACCAATTTCAGTCACAGTTAGAAGACATGAACCTATCAGTCCTAGTCCTAGCTCATCTGCAAATTTCACCCAGTTTCTACTAAAAAAAAGCAAACAGAAAACCCTTAAAGTAATCATTTATGGATCATGTATGCACAAGAAGTCCAATTCCAGTAACTTATACTGAATTTCTTAATCAGATGTCTCAGGCAATCTATCTGGCCTCTACCCAATTTGCAAAAGAATATATTCCAAATCTGCCTGCTGCATTTGTGCAACTTATTAGGAAACAAGAAGATCTTTTCTGTTAAAGAAAGCCAGTCTAATATATTAGGCAAAAGTAAGAAAATACTAAGTCTTGGTAACTTGCAAGGTCCAATTTAGATAAGCAGCCATTCATGCGTGCAGATTCCTGACCTTCTATTTGATATCATCTTTTTTCAAGTAATGTTTAGTTTGACCCTAATTCTAGATCCGATTCTGGGGAGGCAAAGGAATCTGTTTCAGGTATTTGCTGCAAAATATGAAATGGAAAAACTGTCTTTGGATTATGTGGCTAAAATGGAACTATCAAACAACAAAAAAGAAGGTGAGACTAAGGAATCTAAAAAGCCAGCAACAGCTTACTGTCATTGTAGACTAAGTGAGAATTTCAACTGCCTCAAAGGTTTGCTCATCGAAGATGACACTGGAATAAGTTTCCCAACATTTAATCTAATAGTTGACTAGAATAGTAAAATATTTTATTGAAATTGTATTTCAATTAATAAGGCAGTAGTAAAAATATCACAGTGTACTTACTTTACAAAAATGAGAATTTAAATTAATCAGCTTCTTAAAGGAGCATTCTCTCCTTTTCATTCAGAGATAGAAGATAATGCCTCTTCTAAGATGGTGTATACTTTAATGCAGGTATGCATCAACGTAAGCAAAGCATGTTTCCTGCCTTTTTCTGGTTTGTTTTGTCTCTTCAAGTTATTGTTGACTCCTGGGGATTGCCTGGACAAGTCCCTTCAATTTTCTTGGCAAGGTTTTTCAGAAGCGGTTTGCCATTGGCTCCTTCCTAGGGCTGAGAGAAAGTGACTGGCCCAAAGTCAAGTAGCTGGCTTCATGCCCAAGGTGGGACTAGAACCCACAGTCTCCCAGTTTCTAGTCTGGTGCCTTAACCACAACACCAAACAGGCTGTCATCTTGCTTCTTACTAATAAAAAAATGAGAGATTAATGAAAATGAAAATCTGTATGAATTGCCAATTAAATGTAAAACTTATTTAATTGGGTTTGTAATTCAACATACCAAAGAGGGGCTCTAGTTTGGTATTCTGTTTCTATTACTGTCAAGACTTGTATTTGAATCAAAGCCTTGCCCCCCCTCCTCAACTGGTACTGTCTTTCCCTCTGTTGACATGGAGATTACATACAGTAGGAAGATGGCTAGCAGCCAATGAAAATCTAAAACAAAAACAAAAACCTAAATTTTCCTTGAAAAGCCAAAATAATGAAATAAACTGAATTAGGATCATGTCATGCAATGTATTCTGGATTTTAATTTACATGAACATAATTACTGATTACTCATCAGCTTTTGGAACAGATGTATTTCTACCACTAAATATTTATATAATAAATATTTCCTCCTTGCAGATCATTTATTTCTGTTTTATTTATTTCACAAGATTTAAAATGATTCTGGAGGAGAGATGTAGTAACCATCTCTTCCAAGATCAAAGCTATACCTATGTATAGGGTATTGTTGAATTAACTTCACCCATTTTGTTGATTGTCAATTCCCAGCTATAGCAGATAAGAAACAGACCAGATGAGCAACTTCTACTTTCGTGTAAGGTTACATTAATTTGCAAATCCGAAAGCATAGATATCCCACTGTTTCCTTACAGCCTGAGAAGCTAGGGAGGATCCTTCTAAAGCCTCTTTCTCTGCCTCCTATGCAGCTACAGGCTATACATTCTCTGATTGTTCCCTAGATAGCTTCTCTCCCCCCTCTCTCGGGATCTTGCATAATATTATACTAATATAACATACATGGTATTCCAAATTAGTATCATCCCTTCCTGCTAATTGCTCTGGCCCTTGAACTATGATCACAATTGTGCCCATAATCTCAGTTGTTGAGTGAGGCAGTCATTAAGCAAGACACCCACATAACTACTTCACTCAACTATCACAATCCCAATATTCCAGTTGTGGACATTAAGTGATCAGGAAGCTTTATTATTTTTTAATTAGATATTTATTCTGTCTTTGTTACTTAATAACTAACTCAAGGCAGCAAGCATACCTTCCTCCTTCTATTTTCTCCACAACAACAACTCTATGAGATGGGTTGAGAGAATGACTGGCTCAAAGTCACTCAGCTGGTTTTCATGCCTAAGGTGGGGTCCTCATTTTTAAACCAGCACCTTAACCACTACATCAAACTGGATCTCTGATTATTAAGCAAAGCACAGGGGTGTCTCAAGGAGAGTGGGAGGCCCTGCATGAGGTGTATATAGAGTTGCTGAGTGTGGTGCAAAGCTGCAGCCACCCTAGCCTGACTTTGTGGCATATCACTCTGACCTGGGGCCTTCAGCAGTCACAGCCACCTGCCACAACCCTAGGCTTCAATTTCACCTCTGCCAGTGAGGAATGCACCTAAGTCCCCACACCTGTCTATCTAGCACCCTCCCCCCAAATTTAGGGCACCCTGCATGGTGGCACCTGATAACAGCACCAAGGCACTTGCCACTGCCCCAGGCCTTGACTTTATTGGTGGGGGAGAAAGTTGACAGGTGCAAAGAATCAAGACCATTCATAGGGTTGCAGCATAGAAGATTTATTCAAGCCTTTGCACAAGAATCTGGTCAACTAAAGTGCAATACTAAATTGGCGCCAGATCAGAGTCAACAGAATTCAGGAGGGATTGGACTTGGAGCACTTGTGGGAACACAACGACTCTAAGCTGATGATGCCTTTAATTCCGTTCCTCAGCAATCCCTGCTCTTTTTGTACAAAGTTGCAGCACCCTTGTGGTTGTAAGGATGGGTGCACTGCCAAGCACTCACATTTTTATCAGTGTTTGTGCTGCTGTAACTTCAGGGATGGGTCGAAACTTCCTTTATTTAGCACTGTTATAATTTCTAATTGTCACTGAATAAATGGTCTGAGGATTACCTGATGCCACTCAGTTTGCTCTTCTGATAGAAAATTCCATAATTTACTTGTATACGTACTTTCTTTGATCTGTTTTAAATGTTTCATCATATTATTTTTGTACTATACATAGAAATAAAGATTTCTTTTTCTACTTGTTTAGGGCCATGTATAATAATATAATACATCTACTCATGCTTTTCATTCCAATTTTCTTTGCATATTTGGTTATTTCACAGGTGATTCTCCTGTACATGACACCCAGTGTTTTGTGTAATGTGCAGGTGGTTAATACTCCGTTCTTCAAGTCTCTCTCTCTCTCTCTCTCTCTCTCTCCCATCCTCCCTCCCTCTCTCTCCCCCATTTTCCCTCACTCTGTTCTGGAGATCAGTTCTTGGGGTGTGTGTGAGGGTAAGGTTTGTTTGTAGATAAGTATCATATCTCATCATGATCCATCACTGATTCATTTATTCTTCAGCATTAAAGAGCCAGAATGGAAATGAATTAAACTAACACAAAGGTTAATATAAAATGATTGACTCTTTCATGTGGCATTTTCAAGCCTACTTTTTGCAATGGCTTTATATAAGCAGACATAATTGTCTGCACATGTTTGCTTCAGATTGCTTTGTTGTTCCACCTGGTGACATCAGACATGGTGCTAATAGGATACAAGTGCTGTATTATTCAGATGCAGCTGGTTTGGGATTGAAAAATAATTCAAATAACACAACAGTTCAATCTAAGAATGACTGCTCTTTCTCCTCTTCCACTTTACCAATCTGTGTTTTCCCCAATTCTTAATGAGGAGCCAATCCATCCATCCATCCATCCATCCATCCATCCATCCATCCATCCATCCTTTCCTTCTGTTTTTCTGGAATACTGATATAAATATTGATGAAATATTGAAATATATAACCATTAAAGGACATTCACTACAGCAGAGGATATTGAGGTGATAGGGATCAAAGTGAAATGCCCATGAAGACATATTCTCACCAATACAAAAGAATGCCCCTATTTGGGGCTGGTGAGCATTTTTTAAATTCCGAGAACTTTGAAAATACTCTAAGAAAAGGGCTGCCATGAGATTTGCATAGTATAAAATGGCTGCCATAATAGACATAACTAATTCCAAAATACCATTTATCAGAAGACATACTGGTGAGAGTTCCCCATCATCTTCCCTAACTTGCTCATCTAGCTAGCCTTTCCCAAGATACATTGCAGTTTATAGCATCTGTATTTTGCTGGGCAGATGAGCATTTTTTTTAAAGTATAGGGTTGCAATCACTTTTTCTATTCTAAAAATGCCTACTGGGCCTACATGGGGCCCATAGCATTTCTCAAAATAAAGATGATGTTATGCTGAGGGTAGGCTGTTTGTTCTGCAGCATGCTGTCTTCTCATTTTTTAATTAAGAAATTGAAATCTCTTCCTCCCCACCTTACCTCTTCCCACTAGACCACCTGAAGTACTTTTACTCCATCTATCTCACTTTGGTATCAGAATAAAGCTAGGAGAAAAGTGCCTGCAGGGACAGAGGTATAGGCTGAGTTGACAGATTGAAGGCTATGTCAAGCATGTTTACATGTCTGCCTCACTCACATAAAGTGGGAGGGAAAATCTAATTTTAATATTATAAAAGGGAGCATCTTCCTTACTTGTAGGTATTTTTTTCAGGCTTAATCTTATCTGCCAAAATAAGCCAATCTGGAATGAAAGTGCTTGGCAAAGAAACAAGGTGGGAAGGGGGTCTCATTAAATCTCCCTCCTTCCACTTTATATGTGAATAATGTTGTGTGGGCAGCCTATGTGACTGTCCTGTTTCTGTAAAATGAGTCTTTAGTGTGTAAAATAGCTCTGAATCAACTATGTTATCTTCAGCAATACCCCACCACCAAAGCAAAACCAAACATTCTCATGACTGAACAGTTGATCGGAAATCTGTACAGGTGGACCTCTAAACCTGAATATTTAAATATCTGGATTTTTCTCCCTACAATTCTGTATAGCTCAAAACAAACAAAGAACATAATGAAAGATATACAGTCTTGGCAAGCAGTTGTCATGAATTGCCTCACATAATATCTTACCCTTGATGCTTTTGTTTGAAATTGATACAAACTCATAGAGAATACCCACCCTCAGTGATGGTATGCCGTATAGTCCCATTGACAAAAGATTTGTTTAGTTCAGCAAAGCTTTGAGCATTAAAGGGAACAAAATTCCTGAATTTTCTGGAATAGATGAGTAAGAAATCTGTAAACCTCCCCCCCCCAAAAAAAACTGGCATTTGCATTGTCCAAGGCATGTATGAAAACAAAGAAGCAAAACACACTTTATCCTTCTACTAGTTTTAGGTCACCCCTTGAGTAGAGTTCCCTTTTTGACCTTTAAAAGTGGCAGAAAGAAGTCCCAACATTGTGTGTGGCAGCCTCCTTTTCCAGACAGTTTTCTGTCATCACTATTGAAATGGTAGATGATTGATCTGAGAAATGAAGTTGGATTGCTGTCCCAAATCTACATTCCGTTCTCCTTGTGACTGTCTGATCAATTTCACTCCGTAAGACACAGCTTGTCGCTATGAATTTTCATGCTAGTCACAAGCAGACAGCGCAAGTCAGAACAAGTAGAAGATGTCTCCATTCCACTCCAGCTTTCTTTTTCTTTCTTTAGTTGTTACATTATAACAATAATTATTGTTATAATTATCAGCCTGCTTATTAATCGGGTAGTCATCTGTTTTGTTCTTTGACAGTGATTGGAGTGGGAAAGAGAACTATTCTATTTTTTGATAGCATGTTCAGCTGAATTGGGTCTCAGCCTTTGGCCATCTTTTTGGAGATGTCTGCATCCTGCTTTGTGGTGATATACCCTATTGCCACTGCAATAGGTGTCACCTGTTTAGTAGCCTCTCTCAGCAGAACGCAAGTGGCCGCAGGTGCCATGTGAATGCTGATTCTGTCTGACAGCTGTAGACGCCAGCTGCCTGTACAAGGCCTGCCCACTTGCCACTTTTTTGCAGCTAGAATTCTGCCATTGGCAGGACCGATACAAAAGCAATAAACTAGGTGACCGTAAAGCTAAGATAAGTCCTAAGTGGCATTTTGAGCCCTATGGCTTTGAAATAATTAGGAGCAAGAGAACAAAAAGAAAAAGGAGTAGAAGAAGAAACAGAGAAAAGGAAGCCTATTTTTCTTACACTGATGCCCTGCGGACTATACATCTGACTTGCTGTGAGCCCGTCACTGTATCCTCCTGTCTGGCTGATAACATGGCGAAGGGTATCCACCTAAACAGACCAACAACAAAGAAAGAATTAGGAACATGTTTATTAGAAAAGAAGGATTTCTTTGGAAGTCATTGTAATATGAGTACTGGTTCACAGATTTCTCTATGATCACTTTAAAGAGTAAAAAGTGAAGCTGCCTCCCATCCATATCCCCATCTACTGTGTGCAGACAACACAGTTTATTATCCTGGATTTTAAAATGAGGAAGAAGAAAATATATTTGGAAATTTCTTTGGCAGCCTTACCAATTATGCAGAAGGAAGAAACTTTTTCCTAATCTGTTAAGTCTATTATTTACTCATCAATTATATAACCCAGGATTTCTCAATGCCATCTGCAACTGAAGGTATAAGTGACCTTATGTGAGTTCCCATGGATCTCAGCCTCATCCGTTTCTCTTACTTGTTACTGCTGTACGCACTCTGCATGTTCAGTCTAACAGTACAATCTGCACTGATTTTAGCAGCACTGTCAAAAGATGGACATTTTTGGATAGTTGGCAATATTATTAAGAACCCCAGTGAGATGTGGCAGGGAATCCCAAATGAGATGAGGCATAGGCAAAAGATTCCAGAAAAAAATATGAATACTCAAGAGGCTATAATGGCAATACCTGTTCTGTTCTAACTACTACCTCAATAGTAAACTGTTTGTTTCTGACTTGATTTTTTTACCCTCTTGCTTATTAAGCTGGTTTCTGAGAAAAGATGGCAGGATTTGGTATGATATTGAAGTAGGACTAAGGCCCTTCAGTAATGTACCAGCATTCTCTTATTATTAAACTAGGCAGAAGATAAAAATATGGAAGACTGAATAATAAATTCAGTGTATAAATATATGATCCCTTCTCCCAGAAAACTCACTAAGCAAATTAGGATTCTTTTTCATTCAAAATTTTGATTTTCCTCCTATGAAGTCAGAGCCAAATACATTCAGAAAATGTACATACATTCCTCATTTTTTCCCTGCTATTTTTTTCCTTTTGTTTCATTTTTATGGATCTGATGGTTGTTGAGTTTAATTCCTCTCTTAGGACACTAATGGGGGAAGTCAATAGGATCCAAGCCCTTCATTCTGACCCTGATGCATTCACTGGCAGTACATCCGATGGATCCCTACCTGTGACTGCACGTTGGCTCCAACCTGGGCCCCTTGGTAAGAATCCCCATTGAGTGACTGCACGCTCATGAACAAATCTCCAGAGTTTGACATGTTAAAAGAACTGGAAGAACCTGGAAAGGAAAGAGTGAGGTACCTGAATCATAGAAAGGAAGAGGAGCAACCACTTGCCTCTCAGCCAAGAAGAAAGAATGGCATGCAAAGCAACCCCAAACAGAAAACAATATGGTCAGGTTAGTAGCACAGAGAATAGTGCAAGCAAACATAAAATTTTTTTAAAAAGAGAGAGGGTATAAGAGCTATAAATTTTACATTAAAAAAGACCTCTCTCTTTCTCTAATGGGTTTCAGCAGGAAATAGACTTTCAGAACTTGATGTGTGGGGTAGTTCCAGTTTGGGGGGGGGGGATGATAAGTTTGTTATGAATAACATTCTAATAGCTTAACAAGCATTGATATTTTCTGTAATGATGTCTGGAAGACTGAATCGTATTATTCTAAAATAACTTGCATAAATGTAAATGTATAGCCAATGAGTACAGCATGCCATGCTTAGACACTGCCATTTTCAGGACAGGTGCTGGTGACAGCCTATAATGAAGCTGTTATGGCTAGCCTGGCAGGGTAGTGAAATGTGGCATGAAAAACAGACTCAATAGTTGCATTCTGCAATGTCCATCCAGAGATCCCACACATCTACATCCAGAGAGGAGCATGTGTCATTTGTTGGACAGAGGAGAAAATAGGGCATGAGACTCTGGTCATTCTCTCTTTACCCTTTCCAAGTTATGTCAAGTCATACTTGAAACTAATTACATGCAGATATTATCTTGATCATCAGTTGAGACTGAAAAAGCAATTCTAGGCACAAAACATTTTCAACTTTCCCCCGTATCTCCTCTCCCAAAAATGCCTTAAAAGCGGTAAACTAACTGAAGTGCATGAGACAGGCTGGAGGGGTTTATTTTTGAAACTCTCGTGCAACTCAGTATGTTAATTATGAGAAAGCTCAACGTGCAAGGTTTAGTGCTAAACATGACATTAGGCTTGAAGGGAGAGACTTCAGGGCCCAGGTCAGCTCCACTGCATTACTGCAGTGCTAAGCTGTTCAGTGCTTCCCCTTGGAAGATACACAGTTGCTTGGCTCTTTGCTAAATTGCTCAATGGCAATATGCAGGCAGATGCTCTGTGTAACATCTACACTGCTTTAATTCTGCAAACCCCTTTGCTTAATCTCTAGTTCTCAAAGCAAAGTGAGAAGATACATTTGGAAAAGAGTACACTAATTATTTCTCTGCTCTGGCTAGTTTGTGCAAAGTCCTTCTTTGCCTCTCAGAGGAGAAATTATAGAATACAACAATAGTCACTAAGGCCAAAAAGTTCTACGTCTCCCATAGCTAAGAGACTCCTGTTGCCTTTGCCAGGTTTTGGAATAGATCCTGAAACTATTACAGAATAATTCAGGAAATAGAAATTGGTTTGCAATGGATAATCCAAGAAATCTGCGGCAATTACCTTGATTCATTTTCAATATCTCTCATTCCTGCATTGAAATTCTTTTTAGAAGACAATGATATCAATGTTTTGCCTTATAGGACATGTTCTTCTGAACATACAGAAGCTTTCCCAACTTTAATTAGTACTTAATTCTCACAGGAATGTCTTGGGAGTAAAAGTACAGCTCTCCCTCTCAAAACAGATGGCCTCAATAATTGATCTAGATTTTCAAGGTCATGCTGCATCCATCATGAAGAGATTCTAGGAACTCTATGTACCATCCTATCTTTCAACATCTGTTTAAGTTGCTTGAGCAGAATAACTACTTTCTTCAGCCTGCCTTTTAAAATAAAGAAGACACAAATTTTCATTTCAAATAACAAAAGTATACCATTTATAGCACACACACACACACACACAATGGTATAGGTAACACATCTATCAGGATGTTCCTCTGTGCAAATCCTGAACAAAAGATTAGGAACTGCAAAACACATTTATTTAACTGGCATTGTTTGCTGTGGTGTTTGTGCATGAACGTGTTTTTGTTTTTTATGAAATATTCTTCATAACATTTATGCACATCTCTAACTGGAAAATATGGTGTGTTGCTTCTGCCATAGATAGAAAATAGGTAAACTTGACAATTATGTATACTGTACTAATGCACAGCAATAATTGTTGAGATTGCACTTTGTGCCCAACTGTGGTGCTCCCTCAGCATTTTTGGCAATAAAATAAAATTATAGAAGGGGGAAACACCAAGTGTAGTAATGGTTATACAGCAGAGAAAAAAAGTCTTGATACATTTTAGTGATTAAAATAAACAAGACCACTCTTCCTCCCCTGCTGAAAAAGAAAAAAAAAAAGAAAAAAGAAAAGAAAATTTAAGGAAAGAATGTAATTAAATATTGGATTTGGTGGACAAAAACAGTTTCTGGGGCAATTCATTTTTATTAATGCATATCTTATAACCTGCAAAATAACTTTAATTCTGTGAACAGCATCATTCAATAGGTTGTTATCAGACAAGATGAGCAATCAATAAAAGAGAATATGTGTAGCTCAGCACTGAAATCAGGGGATCTTGATGCTCTCTGAATTTGGTTTGTTTTCTTGCAGACATTTCATTATCCAAATTTCATTATCCAAGTTTGAGTAATGAAATGTCTGCAAGAAAACAATCTAACTCAGAGAGCACCAAGGACCCCTCAAGATGATTATTTTAAAAAAAATTACATATGAAAATCTTCCAGAGATATTCTGATCATCTACACAAAAATACCTTTTCCTACAGTCCAAATGTTTCTGTTTCTGCTGAACAGAGTCTAACAAATTTCTTCTAAAAAAATTCACTGTCCATTTTAATTATAAATTTTATCAAATTTGTCCACTAGCTTTCCCTTCACCATGTCAGACTTTTAACAGGATACTGAGAACTTGGAAGGGAGAAGCAAGAGAGACAACACTAGCCATTTTAGTGTTTGAAGCCAAATCTCTTCCCGTTGTTGGTAGCACAATAACAATAAACAATTGATAGAAGCTATCATGTAACATAATCTGCTTCCTTAGTCACTTTTTGACTTTTAGCATACATTACTATGTCTAAGAATTTGATGCAAAATTTCCATCTGATCTATTATGCTACTCAATTTCTGGGTTAGATGGTATGTCCCCTTGGGAAGAATTAGAATCTTAGAATAGAATAGAGCTAGAAGGGACCTTGGAGGTCTTCTAGTCCAGCCCCCTGCTCAAGCAGGAGAACCTGTACCATCTCAGACAAGTGACTGTCTAGCCTCTTCTTAAAAATCTTCAGTGACGGTAGCGTCCACGATTTCTGGGGGCAAACTATTCCACTGATTAATTGTCCTCACTGTCAGGAAGTTTCTCCTTAATTCCAGGTTGCTTCTCTTTTTGATCAGTTTCCAACCATTGTTTCTTGTCCTACCATCTGGTGCTTTGGTGAATAACGTGACCCCCTCTTCTTTGTGGCAGCCCTTCAAATACTTGAATACTGCTATCATGTCTCCTCTATTTCTTCTTTTCTTTAGATTAGCCAAACCCAAGTCCTGCAGCCATTCTTCGTACATTTTAGTCTCCAGGTCTTTGATAATCTTAGTTGCTCATCTCTGAATTTTTTCCAAACTCTTAGCATCTTTTTTGTGATATGGTGACTAAAATTGGCTGCAGTATTCCAGGTGTGGTCTTACTATGGTTTTATAAAGTGGTACTAATACATTGCGTGATCTTGATTCTGTACCTCTGTTTATACAACCCAGGATTGTATTAGCTTTTTTGGCTGCTGCTGCACACTGCTGGTTCATGGTTAAGTGATCGTCCTCTAGGACTCCAAGATCCCTCTCACAGTTACTGTTTTTAAGCCAGGTCTTGCCCAATATGTACTTGTACCTTTGATTTTTCCTACGTAAATGTAAAACTTTGCTTTTCTCCATATTGAAACTAATTTTGTTGGATAGGGCTCATTGTTCAAGTTTTTCAAGATCTTTTTGGATCCCGAGTTTGTCTTCTGGGGTATTGGCTACTCCTGACAGTTTGGTGTCATCTGCAAATTTGATGAGTTCCCCTCCAATTCCCTCTTCTAAGTCATTTATGAAGATATTGAAGAGTACTGGGCCTAAGGCGGAACCTTGTGGTACCCCACTGCTTACTTCTTTCCATGTGGATGTAGTGCCATTGAGGACTATGCATTGAGTACAGTTTACCAGCCAGCTACAGATCCATCTGGTGGTGATGTTGTCTATTCCACCTTTTTCTAGCTTACCTAGGAGTAGGTTGTGATCTACTCTATCAAATGCCTTACTGAAATCTAAGTATACTATGTCCACAGTATTTTGCTGGTCTATTAGTTTAGTGACTGATGAAGAATGAAATAAGATTGGTTTGGCATGATTTGCTTTTAACAAACCTGTGGTGGCTACTAGTTATAACTTTGTTTGCTTCTAGTTGTTTGCAGATCTGTTTTTTAATTATCTTTTCTAGGATCTTCCCAGGTCTGTAGTTTCCTGGATCCGTTTTTTTCCTTTCTTGAAGATGGTAACCACATCAGCCCTTTTCCAGTTCTCAGGTACTTCCCCAGTGCTCCAGAATTTTTGAAAGATGTAGTGCAATGGTTCTGAGATAACATCTGCCAGCTCCTTCAGAACTCTGGGATGTAATCTGTCAGACCCTGGTGATTTATATTCATCAAGGTTAGATAGGTGTTCTCTTACGATTTTCTTACTTATTTTAATTTTTGTTTCTAATTTGTCTTTTGCAGTGATGTTTTTGGTATGTTGGGCTATAGTTGCTTTTTGTGTGAAGACTGATGCAAAGTATGAGTTAAGCAGCTCTGCTTTCTCCCTGTTGCCTGTTATTTCCTTGCCATCTTCTCTCTTTAGTGGACCTATAGTTTCCTTGACTTTTTTCTTGTTGTTAATATGTTGGAAGAAACTTTTTTTTTTATTATTATCCATGATTTCTGTTGCAAGTCTTTGTTCATTCTTAGCATTTGTTTCCTGACTTCATCTTTGTATGTTCTGGCTGTCTGCTGATAATCAGCTTTAGTTATGTGTCCTTCTTTCCATTTTTTATCGGTGTATTAGTGTTTTAGTCCCTGGTTTTTACTTTTAGATATTTATTGTATTGGATGTTGTCTTTAACTTGCATACTTCCCAGAGTCACTATGAGTTGGATAGCTTAAAATGTGTGTGTGTCAGAGATAAGATTTATAATGCTCCCCAACTCAACTATATGACTGGGTAGCATAAAAAAACCCAATAAATTAAAAGGACCATCCCTTAAACTATATAATTTTAAACATTGACATTACATAAATATAAAATACAAACAAAACAAAACAGTCAAAACAGACTTTCACTCAACTGTCCCTAGTGTCTGGGGAAGAACCAGGCCTTAATGCTTTATTTTTAGATAGAAAAACTAGAGATGGTCCCAATAGTAGATGTGTTTGTATTCTTGCTACAAAACAGCAATATAAAGTAAAAATGTGAGTTTTAAAACCTACAGAAATCCCCCCTCTCTTTTGGGAAAAGGAATGAGTATCTGCACAAATTGGCAGGGAGGAGAGAAAACATTCAGAAAATGACATGGATGGATAGTTTTGTTTTTTTTAAATGTCATCAGAATACCTGAGAAAATGTCTTAGACTGTTCCTAAGAGGATACTAGTTGAATTCAATTGGAATGACTTTGGATAGAACATAGGGTAATTACATGCAGTTCTTCAACCGGCTGAAATTTCAGAAATCAATAAACTGATTGCATTAAGAGTAAACCAATAAAATACATTAATAAATAGCATGTCTATATTTAAATAAGGATTTAATGACAGGGAGGCAGGTTCTAAAACACAGGTGTCAAACTCACTACGTCACGTGACATGTCACAATGTATCGTGACTTTTTTTTGCATTGCTGGAGCTAGAGTGGGCGCGGCCTCTGTATGATGCAACCAGCCCACGGGCCGGTAGTTTGACACCCCTGTTACAAAAAGCTTCTTTAAGAGCAGTTTGATAGTGGAACCAATTACCCAGAATGATAGTGGACTTTTCTTCACTGGATGTACTCACACAGTGCCTAGTTAACCTGGAATGTCTTCACTGGGATTCTGCACTGAGCAGAAAGTTAAGTAGCCCATTCCAATGTTTGATTCCATGAAATGTGTTGATAATTACTCTTCCCTTTATTATTTAGTTTGAAATAAATTCCACTGCATTTACTTTGCCTCTCTTTTATTATACCCCAGCCTCTCTCAATAGCTGTACAAGTAACAGGTGTCAAAACTATGTCAAATGGAAAAAAATATGAATATTAAGGAGGCAAATCCAATTCAATTCAGAAAAGGTTAAATAAGGAGGTCTCATTTTTGTCCATTTCATTTAACTGATTAAGAAATTAACTGTTTTTTGTTTTTCAGCGGGTAAAAAAGAGGCTGTATTAAGTGCACCTGTATTAGGTGAAAAAAGCAGTTTGCAAAGAGTGATTGATTTACATTGTGGGAGGGAAGGAGGAGAACAGAGAAGTTCCACAGCAGTAAGATGAGAGTCAGTGCTGGTGTTTGTCAAAACTGGAGAAAAAAGGAAACTGTAATGGAAATGAGAAAGAGGAAACAAAACAGGCACAATCAAAAGAACAGGAAAAATAGAAGAGTTAAAGAAACAATAGAAAGGAGAAGACTCTGGCTGGAGAGTTTTAGTTTAGCCAAGTAGGATAGCAGAGGGGAATATGGGCAAATAACCAGGAAGATCACATGCCTGGTTTGTTTTGTTAAATGCTATGATTCAAAAGAAAATTGAGGATGCCACATAACCTTCAAGAAAACTAAAAGTAGCTTTGCAAATTGAGCAAGCAAGAAATGAAGCAACTCCCTCTTTCCCAGCTCTACATAATTTTCTGGCCATCTAAGATCAACTAAGGGTTATGTGGCATGAGAATTTATAAGACTCGTGTGGCCCAATCACTTGGTTATCAGGCTGATCCCTAAATAAGAGAACCATTTCTAACTAACATACTACAATAAAATGGACAAAAATATTGCCAAGAAACTCTCCTGTGTAATTAATGTCTCGGACAATTATTAATTAATTTGTTTTTCTTTGTCCATATTTGTCCTTGCTTTTATTGTCAGTAAGAATACTTGCAAAAAGAGATTTTATTAAGAATTGAAGACTTTCTCAAAACTTGTACAAAAAAAAATCTGAATTTGAGAGGCTACATCTGCTATAAAAAAGAAACCTTTTTAGGTGTGAGTAGACCTAACACACACACACACACACACACACACACACATACACACAGACAACTCTTCCTTAAAAATTTAAATTCATATAAAGTATATCAATTGCATTTTTAACTTGTGTACAAATGGAGTCTACAATTTTTGAAATGTATGTAAAATTAGCCATTAGGTTCCACAAAAATTTAAGAAGTTTAAATTTTGTAATTATTTTGCTAACATAATATTTGCAGGTATTAATGCACATTTTAAGGCATATTTCATAATCTATAACTTCTCTAAGTATTGTATTCATCCAGCCAGTATTCAGCTAACTATATTCAGCCATAGCACTATAGCTCTTAAAATGAAACTTATTCCTTATGTAATATATAATACTAATACTGACAAATCAGTAATTCCATTTATTGCAGCAATTCCCTGAATGCCATTTGTTCAAGGATTTCTATGTTTCAAGGTTTTTTATATCACCAAAGAATAAAAATATACATAATGTTTTTCATGTTTAAAGAACATTTCTTTCTTCATAACGTTTACTTAGTTTTCTAATTTGTATGTGATTACCCTCACATATCTGATAAAATACTGTTTAAAAAACTGATCACCAAATCTAACTTCTCCCCTTTTGTGTTGTTATTGTTTTTAAGATTCTGACTCTGCCCTTTTTATTCATCTCCTGTATCTGCTGATAATGCCTCTGATTTTCCTGGATTCTCTTTCTAGCCTGGGAGTGATCATGTGGCAGAAACACTGCAGAGCACTTCCATAAAGCATATGTTGGCAGCACATTATCTCCAATTCTCTTGCTAAGCTTTTTTTCCTACATGGCTTAAAAGATTTTAGATTATTTTGATCAAAAGTCATGAACAAATAGAAGTGTTGGTCTAGAATAGATTGAATTAATAATGCATTTTTCTGCTTAACTTCTACAGAACTTCTTAACTTCCAATTAAGTCAGAATAGTTATAAATAATTACAAGCAAGATAAAATGTAATATACAACTTCTGCTTAAAATAATATAATGTCATTCATTTTGCATAGCAAAAGCTATGCATAGCAAAGCTACCTTGGATCTATACGGTAGACACCTGCTCTATTCACACTTTGCGTGTTTCAGTGCAGGTAAAACATCATATCTGTGTACAGAAATCAATAGATAAAGCTGCTCCAATTTTTTTGTTATATTCTAGACAAGTATGAATTTAGGAAAAAGACAAAAATATTTCCATTCTTCAGCATGCAAGTGGTCTTGTCCTTTCTTCAACATGCATTTTTTGTGAATCAAGTCATGAAATATGATCTTGTGAAATTTTATGATTTTGCCAAGGCAAAAGATAAGCCATTTTAAACAATGCTATCCATAAGGCAGAACTAATAAAAACAGCCATCTCTTATACAACATCAGTAAATTACAGACCTTAACCCACAAATTAAAGGGGGCACTTATAAGGCAAAACATATTTATTTTTGAAAGTAACGAGAACATTCTTGTCACTTGTCGAGTATGAAGTTTGTGATTTTCCATGTTTGCCTTATTATGGCAGGTAAATGCCAGAAACAACAAAGCTGACCATTTGTCAGTGGTCACCAGTGGCCATGTCAGGCACAACTCCCATCTTACATTAAGCAACTGCAAAGTCAAGACTACCAAACAAATGTGAAGTACCAACTTACACAATGCAAATATGTAGCAGAATTTCTAACTTTATTCCCATGTCACATAAGGAATCAGTTTTCCAAAGAAAGGGAATTGTAGTTAAATGCTCAGAGGGTGGACTCAAAGCTGCTCTCCCTCATCAAAAATGAAGTGTGAACAAGGACTCAATCTGCAATGGCACTTCCAAATTCTCACTTAGTGATTTGTCTTCAAGAGGAAGATGCAGGTCACTGATTTTCATTTGGGATGGGTTTATCGTCTAGCCACACTGACTTGGGGAAAAATAATACTATGGACAGAGTTTCTGGTAGGAAAAAGACATTAAAATTCAAGTTTTGTTTACTTCAGATTTTAAATCATTCACAGCAGATCCTATGTTATATTTTCCAACTGCATGTATGATGACATTTTTCACATTTCAATATATAAAATGTATGGATCAGTCCTTAGGTCAATGGCTTTGCAAAGTAGTGCCCCAAGAGTATCAAGGACTAGCAAATTATAAGTCCATACAATATACACCTAGACAGACTGACTGAAAACATCTTGAGCCACAGCACCATCAAAGTAAATGTTATATTTTGTTCACTAATGTGTCTTCCACAAAAGAAACTTTTGTTTTTCATCCCCCCCAAATGAAAATTTAGAGTTACCTCATCTCTCTACTATTGAAACATATAAAATGCACATAGCCAACATTTTTTCTGACAGCATCAGAAACAAAATGTACAGACAAATGTACATAGACAAAATGTTACTCAATACATTGCATTGTAAGTATGTAGCGAGCCTATATTGCCTTTAGGAACAAAAAAACGGACAGGAACAAAATTGTCTAATCAAATAGGAACTCAAAGTGAAAAACAAGAAACATACATTTATACTAAAAGAAAATAAAACCCCACTGGAAAAAAGAACAATAACAACCCAAAAGAAAAAAAAAACTAACCAGCTGAATTGGGAGTTGAGGGTGAGTTAGCTTGGCTTCCATGGGCTGACACATTTGTAGCAGTGACAGCCGTTTTGGCAGCATAAATATTGGCTTCCTCTTGAAATTTACCTATGTTCTTCTTGTACCGGATTCGTTTATTTCCAAACCAGTTTGATACCTAGAGTAAATTTGAAAAAAAGACAAAAAACAACAAAAAAGGTACCTATTAATAAGATCTCAAAGTTATGACCAAGATGGGAGGCTAAAGGGGATGGGAAAGTGAAAGGAAAGGTGGTTACATGATGCTTTTTAATAGTTAAAAACTGTACTGCCTCTGAACTTACAAGACATGGGCATAGATCACCAAATGTCAAGTTTCAATATATATAAATAAAAACTAATGTGGAATCTTTTTTGAAGCTTGAGCTTTTACATGGGATACTAAACTTCTAGTCATAAATCTAAAAACTTCTCAAGAAGCAAGCTCTCAAGAACAATCTTCCATCCTAAGGTTTCAATTTTTCTATAAATCAGCCCCAACATCAGAAGTAAACTTGCACATCTTGCTACAGAGAGCAAAAGCAAGCAGGATATATTTTGACTTTAAACCTGCTGTAAAATGTAGCTGTTTAAAAGGCAAAATCAAACTTATTTTATATATAGCATCACAGAACATAGAATAACAGGTTTGGAAGGGAACACGGAGGTCTTCTAGTCCAATCCCCTTCTCGAGCAGAGACCCTATACCAGTGATGGCGAACCTTTTAGAGACCGAGTGCCCAAACTGCAACCCAAAACCTACTTATGTATCATCAGGTGCCGGGTGGATGTGGCCCATTGGGTGGGCAAGGCCCATTGGGTGGGCATGGCTGTGGTGGTAATGGCAGACTGGATGGAATTAAAAAATTCAATCAATCAATTCCAACTTTGCGAGATCTTTTTTTTCCCGGGAGAAGTTGAAATTGATTGATTGATTGAACCTTTTCTTTTTGCACACGGCGTCAGAGGCCTAAAGTAAAAAGGTTTTATAAAACCTAGCTGAAGGCCTAGGATTGGGGTGGTGGTGCAAGTGCCAACAGAGAGGGCTCTGCATGCCACCAGCGGCACGTGTGCCATAGGTCCGCCACCAAGGCCCTATACCATTCTTGACAAATGACTGTCCAAACTCTTCTTGAAATTTTGAAAGACAGTTCATACTGTTCTTGACTTTTTACAGACAAAAAAGGCAAAAAAAGTGATGTTAATATATATTTTGTAAGAATGAATTACTGAAATGCTAATTTACAGAGATTCTGTAGCTCAAATATGAAACAGGGCAAGATAAGTGCCTCAGATAGCATAAAACCCTTATTTTCAAGGATATGCTCATCAGCTTAAGATATGACAGTACAATTTCATATGCTGGAGGATGGGAGTGGAATTGTTTGTTGTTCCCAATCTGAGCTCATATATTACAGAATTACCTATAGTCCAAAATGATTTTAGGAATTTAAAGAATTAATTAAATGAAAACTCATGATAATGCAGAAAGAGAATACCTCCTGCTCTACACATTTCTGTTGTGTCATATAAAGCTGGATCTGTAATCTGCAACTCACTCATCTGCTACCATTCTCAAACTGATCACTTTCATGCTCAGTAAAAAGTTGCCTGCTTGTAAAAAAATCCCTCACAATTAGTACAGATAATGGAGATGTTATTGACAGATTAAGAAAAGTTCTCTTGATTGAAGCTGTTTCAAATTAAGCTCTTCTGTCCAATACTTGTCCCCAGTCTGGTAACTACTCCCAAGTTCTGTATCCACCAAAACCATACCTCTGGTAATCCAGGGAGGCTTTTTCTGGTGGTACCCTTTGGAACCTATGTGAACCACTCATGTTTATGATGATTTTACAGACATTACACCTGCTGGAACCACTGTAACAAGTGGCCCTAAAATAGGCCTTTCCTATACTGTTGAATGATAATCCTTGTTTTGGCATTTAGTATTCATATTTGTTAATATTACAGAGACTTCTAGTTCTAAAGATTACACTCATAATCATAAGGGATGTTGTATGTAATCACAAAGAAGAGACAATTTTGTAATTATAATTACCTCAATGGAAATCAGAAACTTCTTTCTTTTTATTCTCTCTCTAACCCCTCCACACACTCACTATTCTTTCTTTCTTTCTTTCTTTCTTTCTTTCTTTCTTTCTTTCTTTCTTTCTTTCTTTCTTCTTTCTTTCCTTCCTTCCTTTCTTCTTTCTTTCTAATTTTTTTAATAAAAAATTATTTAGAAAATTATATGGTGATGTTATTAACAATCTTATTTGACTATCACAGTAATTAATTTGGACAAATGGCATGTCATGCTTTCCTCTGGAATCTACCTGGATGACTAAGAATCTTCATCGACTGTGAATCTTCATTGCATATTTCCTGTGGAAGTTGAAAGCCCCAGATAAGCCTCCTGTTCATCATCACAAGTATTATGTCACTTCAAACCAGTCTATTATTGGATCTGTGGAGAATATGCTTATAAGATGCTACCTGATAATTTTGAAGAAAGCTGGTTTCTGGGGTATATAGTAGTTGATTTGACTTACCATAACAAGATTAGTGCCCTTCCCCCCCCCATTGCCTTTTGTTCACACAGCCTATAGAAAAAACCCTGGATGAGACACAATGTTGGTGGATATATACTAAGAATTTTACTGCCAAAACTAGAAGTGTATGAGATACAGAATGCTATCATGGATGTTTGTATAGAAGTAGAGATTGCATTTTTATGTTGTCACTGATACACTCTGCAGTGCCAGAGGATATTGCCATCTTACTGTAGAAAACAGAATGGCCCTAGGTTATTTATTGGCCCCAACAAGGGGAAGCATGCAAATTAATGAATTATTCTTGTTGTGTTTGGATTAATCAATATCACTGTACTGAGACTGATATTGCATTGATCTACAAGCAGGCATATTGTCTGGAAGAAGTAGCTAAAGCCCAAGTCCAAGGAGAGAGCCTAGAACATAGATTACTATCATGTATATTCATCCATATGGGCATGAATAAATGTGATTTTATTCATTGAATTTCTCTTCTTCCTAATAGGGATACATATATGTGTTTATACAATGAGTGGATGTCCTTGCTTTGGAACTTGTTGTGCTGTTTGTAAATCTTGTCAAAGGTATAAAACATTGTCACTTGATCATTATATCCCAGATTGGCTGCATATTATCGTGTTGCTTCTTCCCTCTACTATGTTGTTCACCTGTAGATGGGGAAAACTGGGGGAATGTGGGCAACAAGTACTATTCTACCATTCCTTACAGACATTTGCTGTGAGGGATTTTGAATTGCAAATAGAAGGCACAGGCAAACTGAAACTGCCTGAGAAGCCTGGAGGAAAAGGAGGCAGATAACATCTGTGTCCAATTACTCTGATTCCTAATTTAAGTGGGCATTTTCCCCATAACAATCTAAAGTCCTGTGTCATGTCAATGGTCTCTTTCCACAAATTGTCAGTACTGGTGACATGAAAAAGGGTTTAACAATTCATATAAAGCAAACTTCTTCAGTACTTTAACAATGTCAGTTTTCTGCCAAAGTCAGCAATCTTGATGTACTCTGAAAACAAGGATTGGAAATATTCCATTCACATATTTTATATAAAGTTGGGTCAGGTTAGATCATTTCATGGTTATGAAATGCAGGGAGGTCTAAAGATCTTGGCTAGCTTAACGCATAAGAGACTCTTGCTATAGTATCTCACCATGATAGACTCAGTAAAGGTAAGATTTGTTCTTTCAAATAACTTTTGAAAGAGGTTGATGCTCAACTATGTATCCTCAACTTGTGCTATTGTGGTACAAAAATACTCACACTACTATCAATTGTGAGAAAAATTATCCTCAGAAACCAAAATACAATGAAGGAGATGCTTGAGATCCCCAACAAAACTGACTGTTTTATAATGGAGCATGAGGCTTTCTTAAAAGGATACATTAAGATTTTCTGGAAATGTTGGCTTCATATATAACATCTTGGACAAGTAGAGGGAGTATCATGGATTGTTCTTAGCATCATTTTTTTTAAAAAAATCTGTATTTTGAATAAAGCACTTACTAAAAAGTGAAGTGCATGGAAATCTGTTTCATACTATAATAGCAATTCAAGTGTTCATGTAGTATCCTGAATACAACAGGATCTGATATGAAATAATAAAAAATGATATAATCAGACAGCTAAAACCATTAATAAACTTTGAAAAGAATTTTCAACTCCACTCATAATTCTGTGGTGAGATCAGAGCTCCTGGAGCTGCTAATTTCATCTTGGATAAAGAAAGCAACTGATCCCCTTATTTTGGTATCTAAAAAAAAGAATGAATTTGATGAGGATTGAAGAATGTTACTTAGAAAACTACAGCTGAATCTAAGTGAAATTATTTACAAATCACATCAGAATCATGCTGTATTATCAAAATTATTTCAATCTTTCAGGGAAAATACTATAAAGAAACATACTGATAGAGAAAGAAATTAAGTGCCTAAAATTAGACTTAATGCCACAACTACACATGACTTTTATAAGAAGCATAAATGCCAGGTGATATAACTTAATTCCACTGAATGTCAAAGACAGAATACTATATAATAACCTCTATGAATTTGATAGGAATAAACCTTGGCATGAGTTTTTTAATCACATAAACCTTGGCATGAGTTTTTTAATCACATCTCTGGAGATTTTTCAAAAATAGACTGTACAATCGTTTGATTGGGATGGTATAAGGTTTCCTGCTTTGAGCAGGAGGTTGGACTAGAAAACCAACCTGCATAGAAACACATTTCATAAAGAAGATAAAACAGGAAAAGAAGAAGAGAAAATGAGGAAGAAGAAGAAAAACAAGAAGTATGTAATTCAATTGAAAGAATGTTTGTTTCAGCTATGTAAGCTGTAAATTGGCTAATCTAAACCCTGGATAGAAAAAAATGGCTTAATCATAAAGGATTAGTTAAACTATCACATGAGCTGTAACATATATATATATATATTTGATATGGCAGTGAAGCATCTCCATTTTATTTTGATTTTGATATGGGATATCTCTCATTTAAACAGCTTTAGTTATGCACCAAAAAATCTCTTTAAAGTTTCCTTTCACAATTTAGGATGAGGCTATTAATT